CCACTGTGAGCTGCTGTTATCCCGCCAATGGTAAGTATTATTGTTAGACCTTCATGGGTATATTTAAAATTTCTTTTACTTAACTCTTAGACTTTTTCAGAATACTGTGGTTAAAAACAAAACAAAACAGGCAATGTGAAGTTAACTATTTCAGTCAAAGTTTTTGCTTACTTTGGAGATTGTAACTTAATTACAACATTTTCTTTTTCCTTTCCTCCTTTAAACTCTTCCATTTACCCCTCCCTACTTTTCTTAAAATTCATGGTCTCTTTTTTTTCAGTCATTGTAATTGCATATATATACATATATAAGTATATTTATGTGTGTGTTTGTGTGCGTGCGTGCGTGCGTGTGTGCGTGCGTGCGTGTGTGTGTGTGTGTGTGTGTGTGTGTGTGTGTGTGTGTGTATTCCTAAATATAACATGTAGAGTACATTAATGTTACTTATATGTATGTTATTGGCTGACCATTTGGCACTGGACAACCAATTGATGTGTTCTTCCTTGGGGAGGACCATCAGTTTTTCTTACATGTATATAATAAATTTTGGTCATGTTTATCCTTCTTTACCCTGTCTCATGCCATTCCCTTTCCCGCTGAAACCCTTCTTTCCTTTAAGTCCTCTTCTTACTTTGCTGGGGCATATGTGGGGTCCTACCCAGTGTAATCAGTTGCTTACATGACCATCGGTGGGGGCTTGTTTACTAGAGCATGGGTAACCTCTCAGTGTCTGCCTTTGAAGGTGATATTCACTTAGCCACCATCAACTGCCAGTAGTCTCTCATGGAAGGACGGGACCTTATGAATCCAGACCTCATCAATAATGAAGTTTTGACAAACCCATAAATTGGTTCAGGCAGCCACAGTTGCAGTGAAATCCTGAGTGAATTAGCCATGTCACATATCCAGAATACATCATGTCACAGCAGTTCTACCCATCATCAGCTCTTAAATTCTTTATACTCCCTCATCTGTGTTGTTCCCGAGCCTGGATGAGGTGCTACAAACCTCATTTAGGACCAAGATTCAACAGTCACTTATTCTCAGAACTCATTTTAGCCAATTTTAAATGTATATAGTTCAGTAGTCTTAAATGTTATTCACTATGTTGGGAAGTACAGTGCCAAAATTTACTATCATCCAAATCTGAAACTCTCTACTAATTAAACAATGTTACCACCCCCACCTTCTTAGCCACTACCATTTACCTTTCTTTTTCTTTGAATTTTCCTCCATTAGAAACTAGTGAGCTCTTTTTTCCCCCCACAATCCTCCTCATACCAAATGTGAGGGATTTTCCCCCACACCAAGTCTGAGTTATTGACAGATACAGTTACAAGGTTTTATTTGCTAATTTTATATGCTAGTCATGTAAGTTATTGGGTTCCAGGTTATTCATACTTCTGTGCAACTGAGGCTGGAAATCAGGTTCCATTGAGAGTGTCTCAGAGAACCTAACAAAGCACTTTTTAAAAACTCTTATTTATGTGTTACAAAACATACAACTTAGAAGCTCTCAGATTGAAGAGATGCATACAGCAAGGTATGTGGAAAAGCAGTAGAATATTTTCCCCTCTGGGTCACACAACCCTCTCAGCACCTCCATGTTTTCACCAACCTGAGCTCTCTGAGCCCTGCCATTTAGGAATTAGTGTGGTTTTGGAGGGAGATTTCATGATATAGGCATGATTAATTAAATTGTTGGCCTTATTGATGAGTGCATGACCCTCCATCCTCTCTTCTCCACCTAGAGGTTGGAGGTATGCTTGGCTGGACTGTGGTTAGCTCATACTTCCAGCCCTTTATTCATGCCTTGATCTTCTGGGACACCAACCAGTAGTCATCCCACTGACAGAAAATACTTCTTACACTTTTTAATTTTTATTTTATTTTTTTTCATATATTTCCCTGGCTAGCCTTGGTTCAATCTGTAGCCAAGGATAACCTCGAATTTCTATTCCATCTGCCTCTGCCTACTGAGTTCTGGAGATTACAGACAGACACCAACATGCCCAGTTTATGCAGTGCTGGGTACTGAACAACACAGGACTTTGTGTATGTGAGATAAGTATTGTACCAACTAAATTATATCTCCAGCCCATTGACACACTCTAATTTGAGACAGAGTCCTGTGTACAGTCTAGGCTGTCCTGGAACTCAGCTGTGTAGCCCGGGCTAATTGAACTGACTATAATCTTCCTACCTTAGTTTCCTAAATGCTGAGTTTATAGAGTACACCCTCCCTTTGGCATAAAAGACACTTAGTTCTGCACAGTCCAAGGAGATTAGGCTTGGACCAAGCACAGAGACAGACTTTATTATACCACAGCACCTTACAGAAATCGAGTTAACAGAGTCTGTACACGATTGCTTCCAGTTATTATATTGTCCCAAGGATTAGAGTGTCTTAGAGGAGCAGGAGCCTCTTAGGTAGAAATTTAAGACTCCATATCGGATTTAAGGTTTCTTTTGGACCACAACAGTTTGGTCTGGTTTTGTGCCACAAGGAGGGAAAGCCAGGTTCACATGTAAAACCAAATATATAGTCGTATTTGTTCTGTAAGGCCCAGTTATAGTAGGGTAAAATCTATAGTAGTGTTGAGAGCATATATTCTCTAATATATGTTAGATCTGTAGGGTCTCTATGGCTTTTTGTTGTTCATGAATTAATCATAAATAAATAATAAAAACATAGTTGCAAAGTAGAGTGGGTTGTATATACCTGTAATCCCAGTGTTCAAGAGGTTGAGGCAGGAGGATTGCCTTATGTTTAGGATCATTTAGGGAGTGCCTAGCCAGCCAGAGATACCTTGTCCTTAAAGCAGATTAAAACTGTATAATTATAAAGTGGGGCAGATGGTGTGTAGTATGAAAGAAATGACCATGACGGAATGAAAAGCAGATCAAAGTGGGTCCCCGTGTTACATTCTGTCTGGGTGAGTTAGTTTGGGGAAGGGGAGGTTAGGGGAGATGATAAGCCAAGGATGATGGCCACATTTCTTGCTGAGGTCTGTTTCTAAAAGGGAGAGCACTGAAAGAGAGACAACAAGTTGTATAGTAGAAAGTTACTTTGGGCTATGCAGGAGGACTCAGAGGAAAACAGTTTTTTATGAATGTGGGCCTTGTAGAGCATCTCTTGGAAAGAGAAGTTTCTTAGTCATTGCCACATAGGGTAGGTTAATCTATAGAAATGATTGTGGTTGTCTGTTGAGAGAGAGATGCAGGATGAGACGGAGGCCAAATTGATCATAAGGATTTGAATTAGACAAATGATGGTTAGTTTGATTTATTTTGTCACAAATTTTATGATTTCTGCTGTGCTCAATTCTTTAGTAACTACCTAGCATTTGTTTTGAAGAGTGCTTTAATTCAAACATGGTCAAATCGTCTCAATCCTTAACACTTCAGGAATAAGTATTACTTCTAACAGTTGGTAATTACTGCTACAGGGTCCTTGGCACATTTCAATTTGATTTTCCCCCCCCTCGTAGGTTTCTTGCACCCCATGTAATATACCAATTGGAGCCCCCGTGAGTGGCTATGCTCTTTACCAGCGGCACATTAAGGCTATGCATGAGTCAGCTCTCCTGGAGGAACAGCGTCAGAGGCAAGAACAGATAGACTTGGAATGCAGAAGCTCTGCAAGCCCGTGTGGTACTTCGAAGAGTCCAAACAGGGAGTGGGAAGGTAGGTACAAAAGGAATCAAGGTGAACCCCAAGATAGTGTGTGTCCTTTGTGCTCTGTATGTGATTTCATGCAGTTTAAACATCTGTCCCTGAGAGAAGACTCCTTTTTTTTAGACATATTAAGCAGTTTATTATAGGCCCAGCAGAGTAGGGAGACTAATGGAGATGAAAAACAGGGTTAATGGCTGACTGCCAAGGCTGGTCGCCATAGAGAGAGAGAGAGAGAGAGAGAGAGAGAGAGAGAGAGAGAGGAGAAGCGAAGCAGACAGAGAAGAGGAGAAGAGTAGAGAGAGCGTAAATGGGCAGGGATCTATCTTTTAAAGGGGTCCTCTGCACCTGCGTGCAGACTTGGTTCCCATGGAACCCTGGGCTGACCAGGGTACTTCCTGTTCCGACAGGTAACAGGGGCAGGCTAGCATAATGCCTGAACCTTTCAATCCCACCTTTACTTACTATTAAAAAAAAAAAAAAAAGGTGGGTTGTTGGACATGGCAGAATAAGGAATAAGGGCGTCGAATTCTCAAGACTGCTTCCTGCTGATGGGGGGGGCATTGACCATCTTTGGAGGACCAAGAAGGTTGGGGTGCTGCCCCAGCCTGGGGTA